GTGGACTTTTGCATCTAGCCCTACTGGGACACTATAATCTCTGACACCCTAAAAAAAAAGAGGGAGAGAGGGGGGGGGGGGACAAAGACAAGACATGGTAATCAGGAGAAGGAAAGTACTTCTGAAATCTCCCCTTCCTACATCTACATCAGGGGTGTCCAACCTTGGCAAAGTTAAGACTTGTGGACTACTACAGACCTGCTGGCCAGTGGAATTCTGGGAGTTGAAGTCCACAAGTCTTAACGTTGCTAAGGTTGGACACCCCTGCTCTACATGGACATTAACCATTCATGCATTCAAATAGATAGGAACCATCCCTAGGCTTTACATCACTTGAAAACATCTGTCAGCAACTAAGATGCTCTAATTGTCTAGGTTAATTTTTGGCTACGATTGATTAGGCAGAACACAGATCTAGGTTGTCATTTCAACACCAGCCCTCTACTGTAGGGTATCAATACGATCTAACTCTAAGCAAATGTAAATGGGCCTTTTCCAGAAGCTGCTCTGATGTCCTCTCATCAGTTCTACTATTGGGAAGATTTCATGGGACTCTGTATTTCCAGAGACTTTGTCCTTGTTGATCCAGGGAAGCAGAAACTCTTCCTCATGTCCTCCTACAGCAGGGGTGTCAAACTGCTGGCCCACAGGCCGGAAGCATCATGTGGAAGCCGCGCCCACCCCATTGCTGGCAATAGCAAAAACGTCCTGATACATTGCGCGACGTCATGTGATGTCGCGAGTTTGACATGTCTGTCCTACAGTGTCCTTTTTTTTTATGATGCTCCAAGACATGCTCTGATCTCCTCAAACCTCTCTAAATTTGAGGGTCATACTTATAAATTTTACCATCATTATTTTTTAAGGGATGCCAAGCCCACACTCACGTGTCAGGTGTCCAAGTACTTTCACCAAGTTATACAACTGTGCGAAACTTTTAATCAGATACGTCATTTTATTGTCCTTTTTTTTTTTCTTTCTCAAGAACGAATTGAGCCAAACTATCTTTTTTTTTATTATTCTAAAGGCCTGGCAGACTGTAATAAATGTGTTTGATTTGTCGTTTCAACACAAGAGGGCACCAAAGTGCCGTGTTGAAGTGGACTTTCTAAATCAGCCACAGGATGCAATCCTGCCTCACTTGTTTGTGACGCTTACTTGGGAGGTTGCACATTTTCTTAGGGTCTCCTTTGTGGCCCCGGGAGGAGGCACGATTCTGTTGAACAGCCCTGTGCGCAGACGGGGCGTGGGCACCAGGAGGGTTTTCCTGGCCTGCAAGAAGAGGAAATAAGTCAATGGACCAGCCTTCCAATTATAATTGTGTGCTGCTTTCTAAACTTAATTGTTTTAATTTCTTACAGACGTTTCGTTGCCCAGCTAGGTAACATCACCAGTCCTAACACTGATAATGATGCCTAGTTAGGAAATGAAACATCTGCAAGAAAACAACAAAACAGACAGCACCAAAGGCCCACAGTCATTGTCCTCCTCCTCCTCCTCCTCCTCTTCCTCTTCCTCTTCCTCTTCCTCTTCCTCCTCCTCCTCCTCCTCCTCCTCTCTGCAAACCCCACTCTCTACTAGCACTGATGTTCCCTAGTTGGGTAGTGAAACATCCGCTAAAAGCAACAAAACAGACAGCACCAAAGGCTCAGAGTCCTCCTCCTCCTCCTCCTCCTCCTCCTCCTCACACCCCATTCCCTTCTAGCACTGATGATATTCCCTAGTTGGGTCATGAGACGTCTGCAAGAAAACAACCAAGCTGAAAGAACACCCTGGACCTTGCAGTTCAACCCTGACTAACTCTCCCCCACTTAAGACTCAACACCCCCCCCCCCCAGAAAATGATAAAACGAGTCAAAAGGAAGCGTTTGCTCACATCATTCATGATGGACTTATGGAAGACCTTAGCACAAAATGGGATGGTGAGGACAATTTTGAAGACCAGAAGAAAGGCACAAGCAGAAGTTATGGAAAAGGAGAATATACACTGGAGGTAGTGGTGACAGTGACTAAGTAGACTACATATTTGGAAGAATTAGAGCTTCGTAAGGTAGGGATGGCTTTTAGGGATCTTTGAGAGCAGAATATCTCTGGTTTGGTTTCCTTGAGCAATGAAAACTTGTTTACCTGGACCACCGACAGGCGGATCCCCTCGAGAGGTTTGTCTGGATCCACCTTCACTTCCCTGGCTTGATCAAACTCATCCCAGCTTTTGATGGACACACCTGTTTGGAAAGATCCCTGCAAAGGAAAACATGACCTACTCACTTCCAGGGTTAAAAAGCGGATGTCCTTCTGGGGAGAGTCAGGGTTGGCTTTAACTGTCCTGGCACTCTGGAATTCCCCCAAATCTAGAATTTGCACCGAGGCAAGAGAAGCACCCTGTTGGGTAAGACAGCTCAGATCAGTGAGGGACCCATACAACTATGGCAAGAGTTGTCTTCTTTCTAGTTTCTTTCTAGAAGAGACTGGACAACCATTTGTCTGAAATGGTATAGAGTTTCCTGCCTGAGCAGGGGGCTGGACTAGAAGACCTCCAAGTCTATTCTATTCTATTCTATTCTATTCTATTCTATTCTATTCTATTCTATTCTATTCTATTCTATTCTATTCTATTCTATTCTATTCTATTTCTCTTCTCCTCTACTCTACTCTACTCTATTCTATTCTTCTGTTCTATCCTAATCCTATCCTATCCTATCCTATTCTCTATTCTATTCTATTCTATTCTATTCTATTCTATTCTATTCTATTCTATTCTATTCCTCTTCTATTCTGTATTCTCTTCTCTTCTATTATTCTCTTCTCTTCTCTTCTCTTCTCTTCTACTCTACTCTTCTCTACTCTATTCTTCTGTTCTATCCTAATCCTATCCTATCCTATCCTATTCTCTATTCTATTCTATTCTATTCTATTCTATTCTATTCTATTCTATTCTATTCTATTCTACTCTACTCTACTCTATTCTATTCTTCTGTTCTATCCTAATCCTATCCTATTCTCTACTCTATTCTCTATCCTATTCTCTATTCTATTCTATTCTATTCTATTCTATTCTATTCTATTCTATTCTATTCTATTCTACTCTATTCTATTTCTCTTCTATTCTGTATTCTCTTCTCTTCTCTTCTTCTCTTCTTTCCATATTCTATTCTATTCTATTCTATTCTATTCTATTCTACTCTACTCTACTCTATTCTTCTGTTCTATCCTAATCCTATCCTATCCTATCCTATCCTATTCTCTATTCTATTCTATTCTATTTCTATTTCTATTTCTCTTCTATTTCTCTTCTCTTCTCTTCTCTTCTCTTCTCTTCTCTTCTCTTCTCTTCTCTTCTCTTCAGTTCAGTTCACTTCTGTTCTGTTCTGTTCTGTTCTGTTCTATTCATCTATCTAGGCTACTGTTTCTCAACCTTGAGAACTTGCAAAGGTGTGGACTTCAACTCCCAGAATTCCCCAGCCAGCAAAAACTGGGTCTATGCCTCTTCAATGTGCCACTTGACAATGGCAACTTGAGAAACATTGCTTTAGACTAAGCCTGGGCATTTTATGGTCTGTGGTCTCATCCATCCCACAGGGTGTCCCAGTCCAGCTCACACTGGTAGGTGGCATGGGTGGGGGATGGGGCGATGGCACTTTTTCTTTTTTTCCATTCTTGTCTTCAGACTCTTTCACTTTACGGCCCCTCTTTTAATAAAAATTGTGTTTGTTTGTGTGTGTAAGAGGCACAATGACCAAGTAGGGTTTACTGAAATGCCCCCTTTGAATGTAACAATTGAATTGCTTGAATTAATTAATTACAATATGAAAATCCATTCATTGTTACCATGGCTGCACCCATGATTTTAGTAATTTCCGAGATGAAAAAGTACAGTTTGGGCAGCTTCGAAAATTTAATGAGAACCTTTTGAGTGCAAAGTATTTGGGTCCTCTAATTAACTGGAAGCACTCTGTGTGTCTTGATTATAAGAACTAAAAGAGTATTCTGGAATTTAACCTTATGCCTTTAAATATATTATTTAATATGAATCATTAAATGTTCTTGTGGATGCAGAAGTGGGGAAGGGGAGAGGAAATACCTTGAAATTGGGAATCCGATGGTGGACCGGTCTTGGAAAATCAGCCAGGTTATGGGTTTCCATGTAATCCCAGATTTTGTTTCGGATGTCCCATTTGGAAACTCCTCATGGGGGGAAGAAGAAGAAAAGAGACCAAAATCACCCCTAAGTTCTTCCAATCCTTTAGCTTTCAGGTTAAGCCAAGCTGTAAATTGCATATTTATCTATTTATATTTATCTATTTTACATTACATTACATTACATTACATTACATTACATTACATTACATTATATTATATTATATTATATTATAATATTAATTTTTATATTTATCCATATTAATCTATTGCACCTTAAAATATTTTTTCTCCCAGGAATGACAAGGTTTTTTTCCTGTGGCTGGGGATGATGGGACATATAATCCACCTTTCTTAGGAAGGTGCCACTTTAGTAAAAGATTGCCAACTCCTTCCATGATGCAGCAATTAATGCATTCTTTCTCAACCTTGGCCACTTGAAGATGTGTGGACTTCATCTCCCAGAATTCCACAGGTCATCTTCTGCCCCATGCTGGCTGGGGAATTCTGGGAGTTTGAAGTCCAGACGTTTTCAAGTGGCCAAGGTTTTTAAGAGACTGGACAATCACTTGTCTCAAATGATAGGGTCTCCTGCTTGAGCAGGGGGCTGGACTAGAAGACCTCCAAGGTCCCTTCCAGCTCTATTCTGATTCTGATTCCGAATTAACGGAAGCCACCTCACGCAGGGACCCATCAGCTAAATACATCGGCAGGGCCCGCACATTTCTGATGCGATAGTGTTGGTAGAAATTCTAGCCCACTGAATAACACCAAACAGCAAGTTGAAATTAGACAGAGATTTATTGGATACAATGGTTTGCAAAGCGTGGTGGACTCCAAATAAATATTTGAGCCACACCTAG